AGTGCTTCTGTTCACAGTACGTGGTGGGACGGCGCCACGGGCATGTACAATTCCTTGTTTTCGGTTCCAGGGGGGGGGGGGGGGGGGACACTGGCTAGAGTTCCGCCGTCGCTGCACTGCTCATGAAATCTGTGTTGGCCTCTCAAGAGTGACTCATGATCAGGACGATCTAGAGTAAGTGCAGCGACGACCGAACTGTAGGCCGTTTCGGGACTCTGACAACTCTAGACGCACTCGACGCCACTCGTGATTTTTTCACGAGTCAAGAGTAGTGCAGCGAGAACCTAATCCTCGCTCCACTACACTTGACATGCACAAAAGACAAAAATCATGGCGGTGCATCTTTCCATGTTTTAGCCAAAGATTCACTCTCGTTTTGCACATGTCGAGAGTAGTGGAGCGAGGCCCATTGTCCTTGACACTGCTGCAAGTACGCCTCTGTGAGGTCCTTCCCTGATTTCATTGGTCTCCATTTCGTTTTTTTTGTTTTTTTTTTTCCCGTTGGCACGAGCTGCATCGCTTCAGTTGAAGGTAGGCTGGCCTTCCCCAGCATCATTGGTCTCTTCTACATTTATTTTGTTGGTTTTTATTTTTCTTGTCCTTTTTCTGGTATCTGCTGCCACCACCTGCAGCACTTCAGTTGGAACAGGTACCTTTAGAATCCTTTCGGTGAAAAACGACAATCCACGTCCAAGGGTTCACCCCACGGAGCCCACGGATGTTTTGTTAGTTTTATTCAGTTTTCGTTTTTTAGCATTATTCGTATTTCCATGTGCTCGGACATGTCTTCCGTTTTGTTTTTACTGTTTCCCAGAGGGAAACGCTCTGTGATTTATTTTCTTACTGTTTCCACGTTTAGAAAAGCGCCTGATGACATCTCATCAGATTTGATCTGATCTGATCACACCACATGAAAGGTGGTTTGATCACAAAGCGTCTGATCTGATGGCAACTCGTCACATCTGATAGCATTTCGTCTCGTCACATGCCATCAAATGTGATCTGATGCCATGGCATGCAGTCACATCAGATAAGATTTGCTAACATTTGTGCCGGGATGTCCACATCTGGTGTCGTAACATTTCATCAGACCGAATCCGAGCAGATATCCTGAATTCACATGTGATGTTATGTGCTGCCATCCATATTTGTGTCCTCTTTGCTTCTCATAGAATGTGATTCGCTTGCGCAGGGTCATTCAATGTGTTGCCATCGGAACGGGTCTGCTGGCATCACAAAATATCTGATTTCCACCTCTGTTGCTAGTACCAGCTGTTTCGGCAGGTGGTAAGGCAAGATCCTCCCCCCCCCCAAAAAAAATGACAAAAAGGACAGACAAAGGAAAAGGGGAGAAGGCAATCAGTAAAAAAAAAAAAAAAAGAGGGGAAGCGGAAAATACGTTGAGCACCTGTAGGAGGTGCATTAGTACGTGCAACTGTAGCTCCTGAAACAGCTGCTGCAGCAGCTCCTCTTGATGTTGCACCTGCAGCTGCAGCCTGCAGGTGCTGCTGCTGCTCTCTCTCTCTCTCTCTCTCTCTCTCTCTCTCTCTCTCTCTCTCTCTCTCTGTGTGTGTGTGTGTGTGTGTGTGTGTGTGTGTGTGTGTGACCTGCCACACACGCCAACAAGAAACAGCAGCTTCGTGTTTTACTCTCAGATAAAGACTACAGCTTTATTCTGAAACAGCGACAGGAAGAACGTGTTTTTTTGCCTTCCTCTCCCTGACATTTTCTCAGGGACCGGCGGGTGCTGCAGTAAAGTGAGGCAATCAACCCAGGCCACTGATGATTGTCTCCTTTTTGCTTCCTATCACATGTGATAGGAAAACCTGATCAAACTATATCTGATGGCATCACATCGTATCCAATAACATCTTCTGACGTTATTTGCTTCCATAATAAGGTGATGTGCTGCGAAACTTTGTTCTGTGGACACGACTGCGTTTCACCTAACTCCGTTTCATGGCTTTTCTTTGTTTCCCAATTTCCTTTATCGCATGTTCTGCAGGTGTGTTGTCTGTGCTTCGCACAGTCATTTCCCTGACATCAGCATCCAATGCAGTTCATCAGCTGGGTTTGAAACGGATTCACGCGTCAGTCGCAGTTCCCAGGGTTCGACCCCTAGACCTACCCAACCCGTGTACAGTACAGATGGACCCGTGTGTGTTTGAACCCGTGACCTATCCCTTGAAGCTGTCTGTTTGGGGCTGTTGTACATATGTGGGTTGCGTGGTTTCGATCTGCTAACCTGTACCTTAGCAGTCTTACAGTAGGTTCGGCCGTAGCTGCTACAGTTCTGAAAGGTCAACGCAGGTCGTAACTGCTACAGTACCGAAAGGTCACGTAGGGTAGACTAGGACGTTCTAGATCAATATTCTCTGCCCCTCCGTAGGTCCTAGGAGGCAGTCCGTAGGTAAGTCTCCAGACGGCCGTCCTACCTGGTCGAGTCAGTAGTCCCCGGTCCAGTGTCTACCTATCCTAGTCATCAAGTACCAAACTGGCTGATGCACATCTGGGCCTGGGTGTGAGAGGACCAGACCGGCAGCACGATGAAGTATAAATAAAGAGGCAGCGTCAACCCATTCATTCATTCTGCCTGTGAGCCGTGCGGAAGTACTGTCGGAGTGTCTTGTGCTACGGAGGTCTGCAGGTGCCCGTTGACGAAGAGGGCTAAGAGGAGGAAGATCGGCCATAGCCGATAGTTAGTAGGAGGGACAAGGAGGCCATAGCCGCCACGTCAGCAAGTAGAATCAGTGTGTGTACGTGCATGCGTGGGACATCCAGGGTAGATACTAGAGGGGATGGGAGTGCGTGTGTGCGAACAAGTTGTTGGGTGATACAGGTGATCGAGAGAGAAAAATTGTGTGCGCTTTGCGCCATAGCCATTATGAGTGAGGCTGAATCCGAACTGTGTTCCTGGCCGAGTTCATATCTCTGAGTTTTGTGTGGGCGCTACACGCCAAGCTACCTGTTTGCATGCATGCTCGAAGAAGAAAGCCAGTCTGATTTCAGGTTTGTGAATTCACTTTCAGGTATCTCGCTTCAATTCCTGTCGTACATTCTCCACGCGTGGATGGTCTACGAGCTCACAATCCTTGTTGGACGGAATGTACATGATGGAAGTTAATCAATAAAACCAAATGTTACTCGTTCGCTTGGGGCAGGGAAAGTCGATGATGATAACTGAAGGTCCCCTCCATGTGTATATGAAAGGGAACAAGAAAAATACAGATCTTTGTATTGGATATGAAATTTCACGAGCCGCTAATGATGAGCGAAATTCTTGAATTGTCGGGGGCCGATTATTTTTTTTTCTTAATTTCATCTCCTAACTTGTTTTTTGTTTGTCTCCTCTTGCGCTTGATGTGTATTTGTTGTGCAGGTGGAATTTGTTGTGTAAGTAGTGGACTGCCGTTCTCTGCATGCAGCGACCAACGTCGTCGTTTGTTGTCCTTCGTTAAGTTCCTGCGTGTTCTGCAAACTGTATGCAGCGACAGCCGTTCCCTGCATGCAGCGACAGCCGTTCACCTTCAAAGTGAAAGGCTCCCCCAAACAGTATGGTGGTACCACACCGTCCACCTCCACCTGCTTCCTCCTTTGCTGTTCGCACCACAATATCCTCCACAAGACCCCCTTTCGCCCACATGTCTCCACCACGCACAAATTTTCCTCCCTATGGGAATCCCTTCCATGCAGTGACAGCGATGCCACCTGTATTTTCATATTCCCCACAGAACACAGTCCGGCCACACTATCAGCCCCGCTTCTATCACGCCTCCTTGTCACCTTGAGGGGTAGGCCCATTTCAGGACCCCAACACACAATCTTACTCACCACCCACACACATGCAGTGGGTGGCATCACACTATGGGCATAACGGAGGTGATGAAACGATCCACCGACTTCATGGGGATGTCATGGCCCCGCCTATCCACCATGGCAGGTGCAAGGACCACCAACTACATTCACAGCCGCATACGGAGTCGGTGGGGAATGTTCTTCGACGAGGTTGTACGGGCTTCCGTGATGAGGGACGTAAAGTCGATGCAGGGAAGGGTGGTTTTATATCGGCAGACAACGATTTCGATCTCGGTGTAGACGACAACATTTGTCCTCCCGGTTTGAGTACCCGTGCACCGAGCGCAAGTATGTTACCCGTTACTGAACATGATTTCGCCCTATGCGGCAGTGGTGGGGCCAGTGCTCCGCAAACACACGATGCGCGAGACGGTGGCATTTAATTTAGGCGCAGAACGACGTCCCGGGCACCTGTGCACACCCCGCGGTTGACAGACGACACTCTCACTGCTGCGCATCGTGCGCCGCTGGGTGAAGATGGGGATGGATCGATCCCCTTGAATGACGCTACAGACTCACAATCATTGGGTATTTTGCATGACGTGTGTGGGGATTTAAATTGTGGCGAGCAGCGAGATCATTGTGCGACAAATGACGACGATGACCTTGCCTGCATTGAACGATTCGAGAGGTTGAGGGTGGGGGGAGATGGCATTCATGTTCGTAACACATGTGCCATGTGTGCAGGTGGTTTTGCGCCTACGAAAACTGTTGTGGACGCTGATGGGACTTCACAGCCTATCCGAACCGGGAAGAGGAGGACGACTGAAGACTTGTCGGTATGCGATTCGTCTAATGGTGAAGCGTTATCTTCAGATGATGACGCTTCTGATGATGTCACAAGCCCAGAGGCAAAACAACACACAACGCCTCCCACTAACGGCGTGATGACAGGGAGAATGGGAGCCCTGCGCTTGGGGGACTGTTATCCCACAATGCGAGCGTTGAAGGACGTTGTGCTATTTTCCGTTGTTGCGACACACTTCAAGTTCAAGACGGAGCGGTCGTCGACGATACTGTATCAGGTGGTCTGCGAGACACCCGGTTGCCCCTCGGCGTTGAAGTTAGGGCTCCAAGAAGGGGGGGGGATGCAAAGATCGTTGAATTGACCAAGCATTGCGTAGGTTGCAACGAGCCAAAAGAACGCAAGGGAGGCAACAAGCATGCGAGCGAGAGGTGGGTGTACCTCATGGTGGAAAGAAAGTTGCGGGAAGATGGTTCCATAACAACGACCGATTTGAAGAGGTCATTTGGAGTAAAGGCAAAAATGCAATTATCGTACGACAAGTGCGGGCGTGCTCTTAAGATGGTGACTATCGCTCAGCAAGGAGCCCCTGAGAAGGGTTTCACACAACTGGTAACGTATTGTCGGGTAGTGCGGGAGACAATTCTTCATTCAATTGTAGAGTTGCAAACCAAAGGAGATGTGTTCTATCGGGTTTTCTTTGCTTTCGGAGCATCGGCCATGGGTTTTAAACATTGCAAGCCCCTGCTGGTGATGGATGGGGCGCACACCAGGGGCAAGTACAAGATGACGCTCCTCACGGCCACGGGGAGGGACGCCAATGGCCAGTGCTTCCCGCTGGCTTTTGCAGTAGTCAATGGGGAGAAGAAGACCCGTTGGCAGTGGTTTCTATACCATTTGCGCGATAGTTGACAGGAATTCTGTGACATTCATGTCCGATCGCGACAAGGGTCTGGTCCCGGCGTTTGCTGAGGTGTTTGGAGATTACCACCACGCATTCTGCGTGCGACATTTAACAGGCAACCTTTCTCAAGGGATTGCACTGCAGGAAGGGGTTCGCAACACTTGTCAACACTGCAACACGGGCCACAAGCATGGCGGTCTTCGACAACTACATGGAAAAGATCAAACTCCTCACCCATGATCCGGGCATCGAAAAGAAGATCTACGAGAGAGCAGAAGCACGACATTGGGCAGGACCGCACTTCGAGCACCCTCGTTATGGAAAAGTTACATCGGGGGTGGCTGAATCAATGAACAATAGACTGCTAATGACTTGTGGAAAGCCTCTGATCCCCTTGATGGAGGAGTGTCATGAGGTGCTTCAAAAATGGCATACCGAACGGAGGGATGCAGCGAGAAGGCATGCAAATCGGTTTCCAGATTGCGCGGAGAAAGTTTTGCAAACCACACGGGCGAAGGCAAGGAGGTACCGCATCCGAAAGGCAGGCGACACAGTCTACGAGGTCAGCAAGTTCAACCGCGTCAAAAGACATCGCCAGTCATGGGCTGTGACATTTAACAAGTTGTGTGTGTCTTGCACATGCGGGTTCCCTACGGACAATTGTCGTCCATGCTCACACGTTGCTGCAACCATTATGCATCGCGGCGAAGACATCGGGGAATACGTGGCCAAGTTCTACACAATGCCTGCGTTGAGGGCCGCGTATGATGGCATTGTCTTCCCAACATGTTTCTCGAGCGTGGCACGTCGAGACGATTAGCAATTCGTCATTCTGCCGGCCACGACGCGACGAAAGGGCCGGCCGCCAAAAGGACATCGCCTCCGAAGTGCGCTCGAGGGAGGAAGGGTGCGAATCCCGAGACGTGTGCCGCAGAGGTGCACGACTTGCAATCAGTCGGGCCATAACACACGAAAATGCCAGACACTGTTGCCTGTTGGTGGGGTATTCCCGTTTGTGGATGTCAGCGTTGACAATGCTGCCACTGCGCAGAATGTTGGCATGCGCTTGGTGGCGTGCGAGTGATACGGTGATGAGCACGATGATCTCGGTGTGTTTAATGCTTCAGATAAAGAAGCAAGTGTCGACGACGAGTGCGGATATGACATTGAGAAGTGGGACGAAAGGGAGGATGTTGGTGAGGGAGTGGGAGGGGGTGGGGGCGAGGCACCCACACACGAAGGGAGCGATGAGGGGGTGTCCAAAAAGATGAAAGAGAGGGGGGCCCACGTTGTTAATGACAGCGAGGGGGAGGAAAAAGAAAACGAGGGGGGCGATGGGGGTGACAACGGTGTTGTCAATGGGAGCGATGAAAATGGGGAGGATAACATGGACGAAGAGGAAAATGTAGTGGACGAACGGGACGGTGGCGACGACGATGACGATGATGTCGATGAAGCGGATGACGGAGAGGAGGAGGAGCACATAGACGAGGATGCAGACGAAGACGAGGATGACCATGATGGCCAGGAAGAAGAGGACGAGGGTGGGAAAGAGGACGAGGACATCATGGATGAAAGCAATGCAAAGAGCGGCAACGAGGATGTCATTGTGGTTGACGACAGCAGTGACAACGACGAAGGGAGGCCTGTTCTTGACGTGCACACTGTGAGTGAGAAGGATGCAAAGCCTCGGGACGTCGTTGGTGTGGTTCAAACCGTGAGGCGGAACAAGAAAGGAAGCAGAAATAAAGGGCACGCCAATAGTAAGAATGACAACGATGGTGATGACGCTGTGGGAGTTCAGGCTGCCGCTGCAACGAGGCCACGTCGAGAGAGATGACGTGCATGTTGGTACAAGGACACGGGGGAATTTGTTTGCAGTTCTGGCAAAGGGGCGCATGGTCAGTGCTAATGCGCGGTGTGGGTGCAACACTATGCTGGTTGTGTATGTGGTCCCACTTTCGGTTCCGCGTGTCTCTTTTTCCCCCCAACTCTCGCTATGAACCTACGTGGGTGTGTTGCATTGTTGGCTGGGTGTGATACCTGTTAGGCCTACTGTGGTACTTTGTGTTGTGGCTGTAGTACCTACGTGGCCAAGTGCGGTGCTATGTGGGCTCTGGTACTTCGTGTTGTGGCACTATCTATGGCACTCTTTGTTTTGTCACTCTGTGGGCTTGGGTATGTTTTCATGTGGTTTGCATGCGATACAAAGTGAATTGGGTGCAGTACAATGTGGCTGGGTGCCATAGAATATAGCCTGAGGGCTGGTGGCAGTGGGTGTGGGCTGGGTGCAGTTGGCTTGGTATGGTACTGTGTGGAGCGGTTCCAGTACGACGTGGGTTGGGTGCACTTGTATTTGGGCTTGGTGTTGTACCGTGCGGGATTGGTGGAGTACGATGTGGGGTTGGCTGCGCATCACCGGGACAACTGAGTGCTGACCTGGCACATTGGGTGCCGCTGTTGACAATGAGTATCGCTGCTCACGTGTCAGTTTGAGTTTCACTGCTGACATGCCATATTGAGTATTGCTGCTGACGTGGCAGAGACGGGGATCCCGGAGGAGAAGTGGGCATTGTTCTTATTCTCCACTCCTATGTCTAATATCCTCTGCTCTCTTGTTTGGATACAGTGAACTTTGATACTGTACACGTGGTATTAAGGAAAATCAATAAAATTTCGATGACATTTTAGTAATGATATTGTTGGATCGACTATCTCTGTTTATGCACGACATTGTTGTTTGAGGACTTGAGTACATGACGACGCTGGGTTCATTAGAAAAGGCCCAAGAACTTCTCACACATTAAAATTAACAGAAGTCCCAAGAACTTACACATTGGAACAATAATTACAACTTTGCTCTACATTCCTGATTTTCAGTTACAATTTTGAAATAAAATCAAGTTTTTCAGTCTGCAAGGAATGTGAGTGTGAACGATATACAAAAATTCAAATTGCAAATCACGTAGAAGTCCAGATAGTCAGGCACTGAGGAGATAGCACAATTGCACCAACATGCCATCCAGTGGCATCCACATAAGAACGATACAGTAGAATCGTGAGGCAATCTTCAAGCCCTAAGGCCACACCAACAGAGTATTCAATGTAGGTCTTACTGAATGGCGCACGGCGCCCTGCCTACTCTACTCAGCCTAACTAGCCTATCTACGTTCAACAACAGGACTACGTCGCCTCTGTAGACCAGCATGCATGACGTCAACACCAATGTCGACCTCCTCTCACACACCAGGTAAGTACTCTCTCGCTCTCCTCATAATCCTTCTCCATCCACACAAGTGTCTCCTTCCCTGAAGACCATTGTTGCCCGCTATACCCCTGCGCCCCCTGCAGCCCGGCTATGGCTACTTACGCCCCGCTGCCCTGCAGCGCCCCTCGTCACCTCTTCGTGCCCGCACGCGCCTTAGCCAGCATGCTCGATGCAAACACTTGCGTTGTAGTGCAGCAGCGTGACCAGATTGTCTGCCTAGGGCAGAATACCGGGTCGTGGCTGCCTCACTTCGTATACGGAAGTGGAAGCCAGCCTTCGATGCCTCCGGGCATGGTTGCGAACTTGCGAAGCTTCCAGTAGCTCCCGTTCGGGCCCCTGTGCCTGCGCCCAGGCCCAAGTCGACAGTGGGGGCCTGGGCCTCGTACACTTGAGCTCATCCAGGCCGAGGTCCAGGCTCAAGTGTTTGCCTTACTGTCATTGGTTCGCTTGGCGTTAGTGACGACAATGCTGCTCTCTGATTCGCCCGTGACCACTACGTGATGTGTCGGGTACCTCATGAGTTAAACCCGAACAGGCACTCGACCGCCAGTCACATCCCTAAGCGAAGTTGCTTCCCATAAGCAAAGTCAGGTCCCTGATTGAAAAGTCATATTCTACAGGCAAAGGACACTTTCCCAGACAAAAGTCGTTCCCAGAGACAAGAGGCACATTCCACAGTCAAAAGTCATGTTCCGTAAGTAAAAAGTTGTGACTCTCGCCCAAGCAGCAACATACCAATGGAAATTCGGGCAAGTACCAGGCCTTGACATTAGGAAGCAGGCAGGCCGTGGGCATGTGGTACCAGGCCGAGATGGACCATTTGCAGCAGAGGCTCTGGCCGAGAGCGGGGCAGTGAGAAGGGTTCATACTTGGTTGATGATACTGGTTACAAGTTACTTGGCAATGCGTTGATGAGCGCTAGCAGACTGGGAGTTACGCTATTGAGCGCTTGTGATTAAAGCTCTAAATTGCTCATATGACAATTGCTGGAACCTAAGCTTTGCTTATTCTGGTCTTCTACTCTCTGCTCTACAATGTGAATTGTGTTATCTCATTTATGCATGTTTGTGAGTGTGCACTCATTGGTGACGAACTGAGAGGTTCATAGCATGATTTAAACGGAAAGTTTTAGAGTAAAGTTCAGTCAATTGAAGTAGCTTGCTACAAAATTTTGTGTTGAAGGAAAAGAAGTAGAAGAAGAAGACGAGGAAGAGGAAGAGGAAGAGGAAGGGGAGGAAGTCAAAGTTGAACCACCCACAACCCAAAACCATTCAATCTGTATTGCAATAAATTGTCACAACCATTGGGATATGCAAGTCGTTATCATTTAGTAAGGTGCACATGGTTTACAACTTTACTATTAGCGTCGCTATCCTCGTCTGTACAAGAATTGTGCAAGCTGGTGGCGGACGCAGTCTTAAAATAAGCACTTGAATGCGGTGACGCAACCCCCAGGCGAAAATTACTATGCGCCTCGTCCAAGCTGCTGTCGGAAGACAAACGATAAAACGAAACAAATCCCGATGTCGAGCCACAACCATGCTCCCTGAATGTCAGCTTCTTCGAATGCGGTACACACTCGTTGTTCCTGTTCCGACTCCCATGGAAGTACCGTCTTTTGACATCGGAGCGGCAGCTGCAACACTGGCATCGTCACGCCCACGAGTCGTGTCTCGTCTCCCGCATAATGATTGGCTTTGTTTGCGCAACTGTAAATTTTCGCGACAAACTTTGTCCAACTGATCACGCAACTGGTGGTTACATGTTTTTTCTTGTTAAACAGTGTCAGTCATCGTCTCCACCCTGGCTTGCAGGTCTTCGACCTCATCCTGTAAAGCGTTTCTTTGACACAGCAACGTGTTGAACATGCCTTCGATGTTATCCGCTGCTATTTCGAGACTGCGGTGCACCCGTTGAGCTCTCGAAGCGCTTGTGATGTACCAGCTTTCGGACCTGCGCCATCTTCCGGACCCCTACCCTCCCCTTGTTTCTTTTGAATCCAGATGTGCCTTGCTCGGCCCCAGAAAACCCCTCTCTGTTTTTGATTAAAGGTCTCTCGCCGAGACCTGTATTTTTTGTCATTACTTGTGATTCTTGAAATTCCGTTTTTTTTTGTAATTTGAAAATGCATGGGAATAACGCGCGCCTTAGCGAGCGCGCTCAGAATTTGGCTAGACGGTTAGGAATTCAAGAATTAATGGAACTCGACGTGTCCTTTCATGCATGAATGTTCCTGGCCTCAACATGAAAAACTCTAGGAATTTTGAAGGAATATGGATAGACGTAGGACTTTTCCTGCGCCTACTTTGCGCGCGGATATGGTGTTTTCAATTTTTGAATTAGCATAGGGCTTGGAAAACTGCAGCCGTTTCGGTGCCCATTTTTCTTTTGTTGTTCGGCGCCATGTATACGAAGCTCCCTCCTCCTTCCTTCTCGCGCTCCTCCCAGCGCCCTCCCTCGCTCGCACATGCTTTCTCACTCCCTCCCCCTGTAAGGCTGTAACTGTTTTTCTCTCTCCTTCCCAGTGTGCGCCCTTTTTCTCTTTCTTGATCATCTGAATCTTGGATCCGTTTCGGGCTAACTTTCGCACCCTTCTCCTTCCCGCTCTAACCTGCGCTCGAAAACCCGGTCGATCCTCTCCTTTCCCCATCTAGCCAAGGAGAAGCGTCGTGTAAGAGGAGACCCTTACTACGTGACGATTCTGATTGGCTGAGATCGGACTTTGAAGGATCAACATAGCTTCCGACGGGCGATTACCCTCAAGCACCTCGCCCTCTTCTGCCCCATTCTTAATCTTTCCCCGCATCTATCCCCCTTCTCGCAACTATAAATTTCGCAGGCGCGTCCGCAAATCTCTCTCTCAACTCGTCAACCAGCTTCCAGGAAGCAGTGGCTAGATGGTGTGTGTGTGGTGTGAGTCGAAAAGTCCCGACGGGCTGATTGTAGACTGGCTGGCTGTGCGCCTAATCGCCATGACGGACTGTGGGATCGTGGCAAGCCTGTGCAGAAACTAAGTCGGCGGGGTGACGATCTCGATGGTGGAAGGTGGCACGTGACGGTCGGGATCGTCGGTGCATGTATAAGGATAGTGACCCGAGTTGGATGGATGAATGGTCCGGGGCCATGACGGATCTTTACGGCGGATGCGCCTCCTTGTCTCGAATCTATTCTTTGGTGTGAGTGTAGCTCTACGGTAGTTAAGCCGGGAATTATTTTCATCTTCAGATTTCTGTATGATTGTCATCTATTGCATACATTTCGCACTTCTTCTCCCCACCTACCTTATGATATGAATGACTATGTATACATGTCATGAAAGGGTTGCCTGATGGGCCGACGTTTTGATTAACCATGAGATGACGGGGCAGGGGTGCAGAGCACACGGAGAACTCAATGATGTATGGCTGCCATTTTCGCACCTTCCGCGAAGAGTAACCACGAATGTAGATTGTCGTTGATGGACTGGCTATTGACTAGGTTGAAGAGTTGTTGCGAATGGAATGCATGAGAATGGTTGAGTTATCGGCAAGCGCAATGATGTTGGGATTTTGTTCGAGAATGCAAGAGTGTTTAGATCGGTCAATGATGTGATTACGGAAGAAAACCCTGGGATCTTCAATCCGGAATACACCCCGCATACCATCTGCGG